CTTTCATGTCCCATTTTCAATCCTTTCACTAGGTCCTAGTGATTCTATATGCAAAATAAATAAATCCTACTTTCTCCCCTTTCTTTGGCCAAAGTTCAAGCCACCATCATTTCCTGCCCTTACCACAGTAGCATTCATCCATCAATCCACACACCCATCTACTCAGCTAGCATTAATTGGACACTCATGATGTGCCAGGTATTTTTCTGGATTTGGGGGTCAGCTTACTAAACAAGACAGACATGTCCTTATCCTCGGGGGAAAGGATCCCAAAGAAAGAACACAGGAAACTTGAAATAGAAGGCAAAGCCAGTGTGATTAGGATACTGATGGCAGGATTTTGTTGCTGGAGGCAATAGTGAGGGTATATTAAATTTTAGTTTGGGGGGGCTGGGGTTGTGGCTCAGTGGTAGAGCACTTGCCTGGCACATGTGAGGTGCTGGGTTCAATTCTCAGCACAACATGAAATTAAATAAATAAAATAAATGTATTGTGTCCAACTACAACTAAAAAAAATATTAAATATTTAGTTTGGGACTTCACATTCAGACAAAGCCTGCTATTTGTCATTGAGTATTTTTTCATGTATATGTTGGCCATTTGTATGTCTTCTTTCAATAAATATTTATACAGACCCTTTGCCTACATTTAAATCTAGTCATTTCATTTTATTGCTATTGAGTTGAAGGTTTTTTGGTTTTGGTTTTGGTTTTAAATCAACATAGTTTGGATATTAGCTCCTTATCAAATTGATGGCTTCAAAATATTTTCTTCCTTCCTGTATGTTGTCTCTTCTCTCTGTTGATTGTTCTCTTTGCTTTGAAGAAGCTCCTTAGTGTGCTACAAACCCATGTCTATTTTTGCTTTAGTCACCTGTGTTTTGGGGATCATATCCAAAAAATAATTGCTCAGACCAATGCAAGAAGCTTTCTCTCTATGTTTTCTTCTAGTAGTTTTAGTTTCCAGTCTTATGTTTCAGTGTTAATCCATGTTAAGTTGATTATTAGCTGTGGTGGGGATGAGTCCGGTTTCTTTCTTGGTGTGCCTATCCAGTATCCCAGCAACACTTACTGAAGCCACTGTTCTTTCCCTCTCGTTTGCCTTGGCACTTGTTGAAGATCAGTCAACCAGGAACGTGTGGATTTATTTCTGGGCTCTCTGTTCCATTGGTCTGTGTGTCTGTCTTTATGGCGGTACCATACTGTTTTGACTACTACAACTTTGTATATTAAGGTATTTTTTGAAATTAGTGTGATGCCTCCAGCATCTTTTCTCCCAAGTTTTCTTTGGCTATTTGGAGTCTTTTGTGGTTCCATATGAATGTTAGGATTGTTTTTGTTATTTCTGTGAAGAATACTCTTAGAATTTTTTTTAGAGATTGCAATTGAATCTACAGATGGCCTTGCATAATCTGGACATTTTAACAATTTAATTTTTCTAATCCATGAACACAAGGTATCTTTATATTTATTTGTGTCTTCTTCAATCTCTCTTTTTTTTGTAAATTTCTTTACACAGACTACTATAATAAGTCTATAATCAGTAAACAAATCTTTCCCCATTTCCATGATGCCAAAACTTCACCATTAATTTCTTTTTATCTTTAAAAAAAATTTTTTTTAGTTGTCAATGGACCTTTAATTTATTTATGTATGTATTTATATGTAGTGCTGGGGATCCAACCCAGGGCCTCACACAGGCTAGGCAAGCGCTCTACCATTGAGCCACAACCCCAGCCCCATCTTATCTTTTAATTTTTCCTCATTATATACTCTTTGTGATTTCTTCATTCATTGGTTTTCAGTTTTAGTCCTACCTCATCCACAATCTGTTCTAGATGTAAGAATCTAATATATGATAAAACTGGTACCATAAAATGATAAGGAAATAAAATTAAATTTGTTAGGACTACTTATGAACTATTTTAAATAATAGAACCTCATTTTACATCATAATTCAAAATAAATTCTAGGTGAATTAACAATCTAAATTCAACAGCAAGGAAAAAGTGAAATAAGTAGTACCCTGGCATCCTACCACCTTGCCACATTCTATTGGTTCGAAGCAAGTCACAGGTCCCAGCCTCCTTGGAGGCTTAGAAAAGGGAAGGACCTATTGGAAGCTACCTTAGGGGTCTCCATGACAAATACTGATACATGCAACAATACAGGGGACTTAAATGATAACTGAGTTGGGGGGGCAGGTGGAGAAGCAAACAAGAAAGCATAGACTGCCAGGAGGGAGCCTTGGCAATTGCCTGTGATCTCTGTGACTTGGGAGGCTGAGGCAGGAGGACCACAAATTGGAGACCACCCTCAACTTAAAGAAACCCTGTCTCAATTTTTTTTTAATTTTAGTTGTAGATGGACACAATATCTGTGTTTTATTTATTTTTGTATGTGGTGCTGAGGATCGAAACCAGTGCCTCACGCATGTGAGGCGAACACTCAGCCACTAGGCCATAGCTCCAGCCCCTCAAAATTAAAAAAAATTAAAAATTAAAAGGCCTGGGGATGCAGCTGAATGGTAAAGGGCACTTGGAGTTCAGTCCTCAGTACAAAATACACACACACACACACCACATATACTTTGATTCCATTTAAATACATTATGGAAAACACAAATGAATCTATAGTACCCCGTTCCCAACCTATGTTCCCACCCAAGTACAACCTGAGAATTCAAAGGAGTTGACACCTTATGGGAAAAATCTTTGGCCAATGGGTAATGAAACTCCTGGATCAAGACTTCTCCCATCTACCCTGCTTCAAGCCACTTGTTCCTCTCCTCCGCTTCCCAGGAACTTTGTTTTGTTTTGGTTTTTGCTCATTTTTGGTACTGGGGATTGAACTCCGGAGCACCCAACCTCTGAGCCACATCCCAGCCCTATTTTGTATTTTATTTAGAGAAAGGGTCTCACTGACTCATTAGCGCCTCATTTTTGCTGAGGCTGGCTTTGAACTCACAATCCTCCTGCCTCAGCTTCCCAAGCGCCTGGGATTACAGGCATGTGCCACCAGGCCCGGCGGGACTGCACTTCTTGAGAAAGGAATTGCACATAGGATCTTTGCCCCAGACCCTACTTTCTGGGGGACACAGGCTAAGACACCACTGTTGGAGAAATGCTTTCATATTATAATTGACAGAAAGACATTCTTACTCTGCTCTGTTGCCACTTGCAAAAGTTAATAAGCTAGAGTGTGACATATTCTCCAGTCACTCCTCCATGGTCAGTCAGAGAAGCCGTGGGAAAATATGTAGATGCCATGAGGGGAAAGCAGCAAGGTAAAATTCTGGTATGATCTTTCTCAGTTGGCATGACTTTTCAGTGATAGCCAACACTGTGTGGAAGTTTTATTTCTTCCTTCCTTTCTCTTTCATTTCCATTCATTAATATATATATATGTGTTTGTGTGTTTGTGTATATATATACATACATACACGTATATATGTGTATATGTGTAAATGTAGTGTATTTAAGGTGCAACAGCAATCTAAACACACACACACATACACACACAAAAAAAATCTAAGATGTCTTTCTTCAAGAACTACAGAAACCTTCCTCAGTATCTTAGTGTGTGACAAAGCCTCAGATCACTATATTTGGCCTCCTCTCTGGATGGTGTCTCAGGGACATGGAAAACATTTGAGGATAAAAAAATGCTCAGTCATGGGCTGGGGTTGTGGCTCAGTGGTGGAGCACTTGTCTAGCATGTGGGAGGCCCTGGGTTCTATCCCCAGCACCACATAAAAATAAATAAACAACAACAAAAAAAGCATTGTGTCCATCTACAACTAAAATTTTTTTTTTAAAAAAAATGCTCATTCATAAATATATATGAGAAATGAGGCCAAAGACCAGGCTCTGGAATTGCAAACCCTTTAGGGTGTGGTGTCACACCAAACTTCCAGATAAATCTCTTCTATCGGGGTCAGTCAGATTACAATTCAGGACGGCTAGAAACACCTGTCCAAACCCAAGGAGTGGATTCAGAGACACAAGGCATAGCAAAAAGCAAAGCTTTACTGACAATCTTACAAGATTGGAGGTCTGGGGAGCAGGCCACACAGAATGTTTAGGTCAGCATTTTGTCCCCTAGATGCAAGTTCCCTCCTGTAGTTCCTCCTTGGCCAAGTACCATGGATTACACAATCTTCCCCAACATCCTCCTAGGTTTACTTTCTCCCGTGGTTATTTAAAGAAATAGTCCTTTAGTTGTTCCCACCCCTTTGTTCTGTTGTGGCAGGAAGGCCCCTTTGGGCAAGTATGTAGTTGGTCAGGCCCCTCCCTCTCCCCTCCCTCTGCCCTCCCTCTCCCTTCCCTCTCCCCTGTTTGGCAAGGGGCTGTGAATTTTGACACCTCAGTGTTAACTGCTTGTAACTTTCCATTCTGCTTTCCCCTCCAGCTGCCTTTCTTGTATTCAAATTTTACATTTCAGACTGAATACTATATTCTGAAAATGGACCACTGGACTTTCTATTTCTCACAGTTCCACATCCTGCAAGGGCAGGAAGTTTCCCTGGTGCTATGATTGAAGTCACTCAAAATCACTCTGTCCCCTAAAGTCTATCTCAGGAGCTTGCAGAAGTGCCTGAAATTCCTTGGCATTGCTTTTTAAATGTGTATCTGCCACCAGATCTTGTTAAATTGCAAAATACTCTTTTATAGGGCTCAAATCTTAATCCGGACCCATCTGTTGAGCACATTAGATTTGTTAAGATTTATGGAAGAACTTATTTTCAAAGAAATAGTATATATTTATAGGAAAGATTTTTTTGGGTTATTTGGTTTTGTTTTAGCACTGAGATGAACCCAGGGAAAGATTCCAGAAAGAATCTGGAATATGGGATTCACTGGGTAGATTAGAATTAGCTGGCTTTACTTGACCAATGGACCCCAAAGCTTAGTGGCTTCTGAGCAGTCATTTCTTGCTTACATGACAGTTCACATTGCTCCACACATCTTTCAGGGACATGGACCCAGTGGAAATGCCATCTTTAACACACAGCTTCAGAGGTTATATTCAGACAGAAATGGACAAGAACGTGGGAGGGCACATGTTAGAAGTTTCATGGGGTAGGTTTGAAGTCACACCACCTTCCACATTCCACAGGCCAGAATGCAATCAGATGGCCAACCTACCCTCTGGGGAGTCAAGGAAGAGACTTCCTGAGCAACCCACTGTGCACAGGGAGACAATCCCTGAGGGGGGTTTAACTTCCAACTGTAGGTACCTTTGAGGCATCTAGAGTATCCTGTCGAAATCAGATGGAAAGTAGGAAAATGAAGCTCAGCAACTATTGTTCTATAACAAGTTACTATAAAACTGAATGTCTTAGAACCACCATGAAATTTGTTGTTTGTTTTGGTGAAGGAGGAATTCAGGATCCCTTTGGTGTCTGGTGATACCGCCCGTGACCAGTGATGAGTTCTGCTCCCTCGCATGTTGAAGTATAACACTAGAGAAGCAAGCATATAAAACAGGGTTGAATTTAAAAAGGGGTAACAGACTTCTCCTGGGAGGGAGAGGGAGGCCATAGCTGGTGTCCTGGTATCCTAAGAAGTGAGGGTGTTTGTATGTCCTGGGCTTCCTTTGTTGTCCTGCTGGCTTCCAGGAGATGTCAGGTGGGGTGGCCAAAAGGTGAGCAGCAGATGGAGGGGGAAGGGCCAGAGGGAGCAGCCCAGGACATATTAATTAGCAACTTTTATAACTCCCTGTAGGGAGGGGCAATTCCTGGGACAGATTACTTTAGCAATAGGTTGGAGCCTGGGCAGGTTATCTGGATAAGAGTGGAGGAAGCGCTCTGAAGGAACTAACATTTCAATTCCTCCCTTCTCTGGATCCTGCCCCTGCCTATCTGCCTGTCTAATTCTGGCTTCGCTGGTAGTTGTGCTTCAGGGTTTCCAAAGAGGTTCTTTTAGACACTGATGGAATAGCTGTCTTCTGAAGACTTTGCTGAGACTGGAGGATCCACTTCTGAAGGGAACTCACGCACATGGCTGACGGTGGGTGCTGGCTACTGGTGGGAGGCCTCAGTTTCTCTTCACCTGTGACTCTCCACAGGGGTGATCCAGTATGTCCAGGGCATCCTCCTAGCTTATTCTAGAAAGAACGATCTAAGAGATCAAGGTAGAAACCTCATTGTCCTTTGTGACCTAGTCTCGGAAGTCACACAGAGTCACCTCTGCTATATTCTATTGGTCACAGACCAGCTATGATTCAACGTGGGAAGAGACTGCGAAGACATGATTCCTAGGATGCCAGGATCCTAGGGGGCCACCTTGGAGGCTACCTTCCAAAGGTTTCAAGGCTCAACTTGAACTAACCCACAATTGACTGTTCTATTAATTAGCACCACTTGATGGACTTTGCAAATGAGGTACACATGATAAAAGCAGACTAAATCAATCTGATTCAAAGCCTATATATATCCATCTTTCTTGGGGCTTCCCCTTGCTGCCTGAAACAAATCACCTAAAAACTTTTGGGGTGTCAGAGTTTCCTTGTTTCAAGTTTTCATTCTATTTTAAGTTCTCATTCTCACTCTCCAATGAGCTCCCTTTACCCTCAGCATCCCCACCTGTCCCTGCCTACTATCTGCCTAAAATCTCACTTCTTAGATTTTCATCTGGGAACCTCATAGTTTGTTCTTCATTAAGAACTTAAAATAGTCAATGAAGGAGAGATTGGGCCTCATCTTTCTGTTTTCTTTCTAGAGTTTTTATTAAAACTAATCGAGTTTCTAGAGGAAAACAAACATCTGAATAGGGGAATTTACCCAGACAAGGATCAGGTGCTAGACTTATAACAATATAGCTACTGTCGGGCCTAATGTCTGGAACACCCTCAAATCTGGATTTAAAAGAGCAAATGTAGGCATGGTACCCAGGTAGCATCAGCTCTGAACCTAGTACCATCTAGGATAGATCTTGCCACAAACAAGCTCAAAAAACAGTCTTCCAAAGGACGTATGCCTCACTCATCTCAAAATGCTAACTTGTAGCTGATAATAAGAACTTTTGAAAATTTTGGATGCTTTGAAACTATTGTTTATTATAGACACTGACAAAATCCCAGAACCTCCACCCTTTCAATACCACATTTTCTGTGTTTGGCCACCAAAGCCATCCTGGAAACCTCCCTCCAGTCTTTTCTGTTCCTGGGTGTGGACATGAAAGTCTTTGGGTTGCATTGCCTGAGAATCAGTCAGACCTGTAGGGGGAAATTAGCCCCATTACCACCAGGTCATTTCACAGGGGAAACACCATCCATGATATTTATGCTGCTTGGATAGGAAAAAAGGGAGATTTCTGAAACTATACAGAAACATGACACTGATGAATGTTCCGTGTGGAAAAGGATGTTTCTCTCAGAGAACCGTGCAGCCTCAACTTCAGAAAACGGAATCTGACTTACAGAAAAATTCAGATCATCATCTTTCTTTTTTTGCTGATGAGAAGAAAAGTATTAATCGAATCTGGATCAAATTGTCATTGTTGCTTTTTCAAAAATAACACCGAGTGAGTGCTATGTCTATGTTTTTGACTCCCCCCCCCCAAATCCCTATGTTAAAATCCTAGCTGCCCACCCAATAGAGTTACCAGGTGGGGCCTTGCAGGGTGATTAGGTCCTGAGGGCAAAGCCCTCCCCAGTGGGATTAGTGCCTCAATGAGAGAGGCCTGTGGGAGTCCTTCAGCCGGAGGTTGGGAGGATGGAGGACGCCTTTAGGGAACCAGAGAGCTCCTGCCAGCCACTGAAGCTGCTGCTGCCTTGATCTTGGACTGCCCAGCCTCCAGAATTGTGAGAAATATATTTTTATTGTTTATAAACTTCCCAGTTTCTGGCATTAAACCCAAATGGATTTAAGACACTGAGTAAAACTGAAATTTCTCTTTTGAATTTAGGATTATTTGTAAGAATAAGGTCTTCAATAGCTACTCCTCTAATGAATAAAAATGGTGTTCCCTGAGCACACCAAGTTCTTTTGTGTGTACCTCCAGCACAATTTACTTTTCTCATCATTTCTAAAAGAGACCTCAAATACATGTTTCTTGAAGCTTTCCTAACATTGTTTATATGTTGGTAACATGTAAATTTGACTTATATGCAATCTAATATATTTAGCAGATGTTAAGGAAAAACAAATTATAAGATATTAGGTGCTTCTTCAAAATTTACAATTAAAACTTCTAGTCACTTGATGAAGCTATAGCAATGTTTGACTGATACTAAGCACAATTTCAGCATTGTCTCTAGAAATACTTTTGTTAAATGTGGTTGACAATTTCTAGAGACAATGCTGAAATTGTGCTTAGTATCAGTCAAATTGTTGGATCTGATACTCTCACTTGAAAGTTTTGTTTTGTTTTTAAAGTCCAACATTTAGTAAAAAAAAAAAAAATCATGTAAGCTGGTTTTAAAACCCTTCTCTGAATAACTGCAGGGTCTGATTCCTTCCAATCCTTAACTATCAAGACAAGAGGTTGGGACTAGCTTCCTTGGTATCTTCAGAATAAAGTACCAGAAGGGTATCATAATACCATAATCTGTCAGGAACAACTTGCTCTTACCTCTGTAGACTGGAAAAGCTGTCTAAATCTGACTTTACACAGAAAGAACCCCTGTACTTCTCTGAACGTGCCTCTCACACACCTTCCTAATCTTTCCTTTTCACCTGTAGCTCTTCCCTTGCCTGTAGCACCTGCTGGTTTCCTGGGGAAACCACTGCTCATCCTGTCAGGCATGATGGCACAGTCCCTTTGTGGTGTATGAGCATCTTACATGCTGCACAGCACATAGTATGTGTCTCCTTACAACAACCCTCCTTTGGGATATTGATGTTTTGCATATTGATGATCCCTGTGGGTGGGAATTTATATCAATAAACCTCAGTGTGAAATCTCAACTCAGGACAGGGCACATAGCACACGTTTAATAATTAAGCACACAGCACATGTTCTAATGTAGAAATAAGTAGACAAGTTATATATTTTTCAAGTGTGTTTATATCCTTTATTGTGGTACTTCTGTTCAAGATAAAAGACCATATTTGGGTATTTTATAAAAGCTTCTTTATATATTTCAATGAGAAACTGTCCTCCTTGCAAATTTGAATATCTGGATCTGCTTTCCCATCAAAATTTCAAATTATATTACTTTTTAATATAGAGCAATTCATCAACCTAAAATATTTTGGCACACAATAGACATTTTAGACCAGACACTGGGAGCACAAATATGGCATGTAGGTATATATGCACAAATGTAAGTGGTATTATCCTGAGGAGGGGAATCTATCTCCTCCCTGGAATCTGAGGGGCTTATAACTGCTTCACAAACAAAATTCAGAAATGATGCTATGTGACTTAGAGGCTGGGTTGTCAGAGACACTGCAGCTTCTGCCTAGGTCACAGAACACTTGTCCTTGGAGCCCCACGTGGCTATGTGAACAACACAGCACTACTGAGGCCTTTGTGCTGTGAGGACGACAAGCTGTGTTTAGTTATATGTAGGTCCAGTGTTTTGAATCACCTAAGGGCAGGCAGGGGACATGTGAACCGGAAAGCTCCAAATTCCTTCTGCCCCCAGCCATTCCACCACCACAGCTATTTGAGTTTTCCTGAATGAGGCCCTAGACATGGGGCAGCAGAAGCAAAACTCCCCTCCATGTGCCCTTTTCGAAGCTCTGACTTGAATCTGTGAACAAAATAAAATGGTGGTTTTTCTCACTACATATAGGAAAGTCGTTAAATCATAATAAATAACTAGAACACCTCCCTGCTCCAAGCCACTGTCACCTCTTAGTTTGACTATCGCAATAGCCTTCTTTCTGTTCTTCTGCTTTCTCTTGAGCTATCTTTTCTCCCTTCTAATGATTCTCCACACAGAAATAAAATCAGAATACTTCCTACCAAGATGCTACTCTGAGGTAACATTTTGTAGTTTATCATACAACAATGAATCAGAAAATACAAAAGATTTAAAACATTTAAATATAGAAAAACACATTGAGTGATACAACCTTATTATAATCCAATAAATATCTTTATGGACCAAAACCAGAAAAAACAAACAAACAAAAATCACAAAGTACAGTTATTGTTGTGGGCTTTCAGAGGCCTAAGGCCCATGAGGAGATAGATGCCAAGAGAAGCAATCAGACAAGTAGAAAATAAGTACAAGATGAAACATTTAAAACCATAATATCAATAAGCATTAAGTATAAATGGTCTAAACAAGAAATTAAAAGGCATTAATTTTTCACACTGAATGATAAAGCAAGACTAAACTAATTGGCATCTACAAAAAAAATCACTTCAAATGTTGAAGAAAAGATTAAAAGAGATAAAAATAATATGAAAAAACAAGAAATCTGGAATATTTATTGATATCAAAGAAATTGATTTCAGAACAGGAATATTATCAGTAATAAATGGAGATATTAATAACAAACATATGAGTAGCTCATTAGTGAGCTTCAAACACTTGAAGCAACAAAAAAATTATAGAACTGAAAGGACACATGCAAGGCAGCACATCATGGCAGCAGCATGTGCAAAACCACTTACTTTGTGGCCAGAACACAAAGAGAGAAAGAGGAAGGGCTGAAGATACAAATATCCCCTTCAAGGACCTGCCCCAATCACAAAAACACCTTCCAGTGGTCTCTACCTCTTAAAGCACCACCACCTCCCAATAGTGTCACGGGTTGGGGGCCAAGGGCACATGGGCCCCTGAGGTACCTGATATAGTTTGTATGTGAGGTGTCCCCTAAAAAGCTCATGTGTGAAATGATGCAAGAACATTCAAAGGTGACACAGTTGGGTTATAAAAGCCTTAACCCAATCAGTGAATTTATCTCCCCATAGGGATTAATTGAGTGGCAACTGAAGGTGGGTCAGGTGTGGATGGAAGAGGTGGGACAATGGGGGGGGGTGTGACTTTGGGGAATATATTTGGTTAGCTGGGGTTAGTGTCCCTCTGCTTTCTGATCATCACATGTGCCACTTCCCTCCACTACCCTCTTCCAACATATTACCCTAACTCCCCAGCACTAATTTTCAATTTTTGCTACACATTAGAATTAACTAGGGAACATTCAAAAAATTCCAGACTCTTGAATAATGAGTATATCTGACTTTC